CGCTGGGCGGAATATTTATTGATAGGATGTTACATTCGTCGTCGAATGAAAATAGGAGATACTCCTCACCCAGGAACTGCTCCTCGATCGTCTCTTGTACTGGATCCAGGTGGCGTAGCTGCAAATACGGCAATAAGACTGAGTGTCCTGCCGTCAAGGTATATTCTGTGCCGTCGTTGTCTTTGACCTTTAAGGTGCCGCGCCATTCCTTGGTGAAGGAGTCCGATTTCTGTAGCATTTTACAGCTATTGCACCTTGCAAAGCGGGTCCGCTGGTCCCAAGCCTCTTGCCGGCTTCTGCACAGGGGACATTTGAAAGCGGCCTTCATTTCGACGCCCGAGACCGCGGCGCCAACGGAAATAGCCGACTCCTCTGCTACATCCTCCACCTCCCCGACATCCAAGTCGGGGATCCTGTCAATGACGGTTTCCCTGGTCGAAGTCAACTCGACCTTCCCCTCGAAGACTCGAGTCGTTAGGTTTGACAAGGCATAGGACGCCTGCAGCGTCACGGCATCGGCTTGTTTCTCCCAGATGTGGAGAGACATCTGGGCAGTACCGTCCCGCACGGTACACCGCCTGACCACCTTCTCTGTGCCTCGGACGATGACGGACTTTGCCGGCGCCGCCGCCACCACCTTTGCTTTCAACAAGCCTACCTATAGGAAAGAAAACCAGTCATTGATTTACCAAATTGCTTGCCCAGAAATTGCGTTCTTAGAAAACATTGCCATTACAAGCTTATTCATAGCGCACCTTCCTGCCCGCTGGCAAAGTCGCCACATCAATAAGCATTTCCCTTGCAGGTGCTGTAGGCTTCCGCGGCGAAAACGGCAGATCGGTGACAGATATCTCCGTTGACGGATTGCCCAGCACATCAAATTCAGACGTGCCTTTGAAGCCTAGAAGGAAAAATGACACACACACACACACACACACACACATACACATAAATGCTCAGTAATACATGTCTTCTCAAACTGCGTTGTGTAAAGAGATACTCACTCAAAGTCTTTCTGATATT